TTCTATTGCGATAGAAAATTTTTGGACGACAGAAAAAGGGAGAAGTGGATACAGTGCGTTGTTTGCAAAGAATTGGGCCATATAGATTGTTCCTAGTGTAAAACTGATATCTTTATTTGATATTCTTCTTCTTCTTCTCTTCTATTATGTAGGCTGTAAAGCCTGTTTCTTCTTCAATATTAGCCTTCTAAATTGTTTAAATTGTCGCACCATCTTTTTCTTGGTACGCCAATACTTCTTCGTCCAGTTGGTGACTTATCTCGTGCTAGTCGTACTATTCTATCCTCTGCCATTCTACTAATATGTTCGTTCCACTTCTATTTGCGTTTTGTCAACCATCCATTTATGTCTTCTATATTGCACGTCTTATTATGTTTTCGCTTGTCTCCCTATCCAACAAAATTCTCCCTGATATTCGTCGGGGACGAATAATAAAAAATAAGGACGACAACAAAAACAAAAAGAAATAAACAAATAATAGCTATTAACCTAGATAAGCTTAAAGAAGAATCCACTAGTAATAAAATACGGGAAGAAATACATAGACACTTGAGTAACAGAACAGTACAATCGACACAAACTCCCGAGGAAGAATGGCACTATATTGAGAAAACACTTACAAGAGTAACAGAAGACTACCTCAAACAAGATACACGAAAAAAGAACAAACCATGGATGACAGAAGAAATTCTAAACATGATGGACGAAAGAAGAAAATACAGAGGTAAAAATGAAACAACATACAAGCAAATACACAAGAATATCAGAATAAAGATCCAACAAGCCAAAGAAACCTGGCTAAGTGAAAGATGCCAAGAAATTGAAGAGTTGGAACAAAGACATGATACTTTCAATCTACATAAAAAAGTAAAAGAAGCCGCTGGAATATTTAAACAAACTCCTACGTCTTTCATCGAAGATAAACATGGGAACCCGCTACTGAACATAGAAGATCAAATAGGTAGATGGAGAGAATACGTGGAAGAGATGTTTCAAGACCGAGAGAGGACGAACATTTACATGCAGGAGGCATCGACTGGACCTTATATCACAAAGCAAGAAATTATCAAAGCGGCAAATCAGTTAAAGAACGGAAAAGCTGTTGGGGAAGATAATATCCCAATTGAAATAATAAAGATATTACTAGACGAACACATCGAAGTAATGGAAGATATATTTAACAAAATATACGAAACAGGCATAATACCAAATGATTGGCTGACATCGGTGTTTATACCACTACCAAAGAAGAGAAACTCCAAGAAATGTGAAGACCATAGGATTATTAGCCTGATGAATCATATGTTGAAGCTTTTCCTACGAGTAATACACAATAGAGTATACAATAAACTAGACGAACACACTGGTCAAACTCAGTTTGGTTTTAAGAATGGGTTCGGAACAAGAGAAGCACTTTTTTCAATACGTGTGCTAGTTGAAAGATGTAGAGATGTCGATTCTGATGTATACTTGTGTTTTATAGACTTTCAGAAGGCGTTTGACCTGGTGAAACATGATAAACTAATAGATATTTTAAGGTCATGTAATATCGACGATAAAGACTTAAGGATCATTTCAAACCTCTACCAAGAACAAAAGGCTAAAATCAGAATAAAAAGCGAAACATCTGGAAAAATCAATATCGAGAAGGGAGTAAGACAGGGATGTGTCCTATCACCTTTGCTGTTCAATGTTTACTCTGAGAAGATATTTCAGAAAGCTTTGGAAGGCACCTCGGATGGTATAATTATAAACGGGCAATGTATAAATAACCTGCGATATGCTGATGACACTGTCATACTGGCAGATAATGCTGAAGCCCTGCAACGCTTAATGGACCGAGTAACGACAGCCTGTAGAGAATTTGGAATGAAATTGAATACAAAGAAGACAAAAACGATGGTCATCAGCAAGCACCAAAACAGAAGGGTGAAGGTCAATGTCGACGGAACAGATCTGGAAAGAGTAACAAGAACAACGTACCTTGGAAGTAATCTTGATGAAACTTGGGACCACTCACTAGAGATAAGAATACGCCTGGAAAAGGCACGTACAATGTTTTACAAAATGCAAAAAGTTCTATGCAACCGCCAGCTGGGCATCTCATTGAGAACTAGAATACTTAAGTGCTATGTTTTCTCCACCTTGCTCTATGGTGTTGAAGCCTGGACAATGACAGAAGCAACACAAAAAAGAATCCAAGCATTCGAACTCTGGTGTTACCGTAAAATGCTCAGAATATCCTACATGAGCCATACGACAAATGCGGAAGTCTTGCGGAGGATGAATAAGGAAAGAGAGCTTATGCTTATAATAAAAGAACGGAAAACACAATATTTTGGTCACATCATAAGAAATCAAAAGTATGAACTGCTCCAACTTATAATCGAAGGCAAAGTCAATAGCAAAAGAGGACCAGGAAGAAGACGCAACTCTTGGCTTAAAAACCTACGGCAATGGACGAACATGACCTCCATAGAACTATTCAGGGCTGCTACAAATAAGATTAAATGGGCAAATGTAATGGCCAACGTCCTTAAGGATAAGGCACCGTAAGAAGAAAAGATTCGTCGAAGTATTTTCATCTCTGTTGTTTCTAGCAGTCGTCTCGTTTTAGATGTGTCAGGTCTTATCTCCGCCGTGTATGTTAATATAGGTCTAATTGCTGCTTTATAGATTCTTGTTTTTGTGTCTTGTCTTAGGTGTTTGTTCTTCCAGATTGTGTCATTAAGAGAACCCGCCGCTTTACTTGCTTTTAAGCTTTGTTGTCGTACTTCTTCTTAACATCTCCGTAACTAGTTATATCTATTCCCAGATATCTAAACCTTGCTTCCTGCTTTTATTTTAATATTAAAATTTTTATTATTTTCCCATCAATTTCGATTTTACACCATAGTGGGTATTTAGATGTTGTCATACATTTGGTTTTGTCTGCTGATATTATCATATTGTATTTCTTAGCTGTTGTATTGAAGACATGTGTTAATCTTTGGAGCTCGTCTTCTGTCTCGGCGATTAATGCGGCGTCGTCTGCATAACATAATATTTGGATTTCTTTGTTCCCCATTCTGTAACCATGACCTTTACGTACTGCTTGTATTATTTCGTCCATTATTATATTAAAGAGAAGTGGGCTCAACGAGTCACCCTGTCTGACTCCGCTTTGTACTGGTATACACTGTGTTAGTTTTCCATTTATCTTTGCCTGTATTCGATTTTGGAGGTAGATGTTTTCGATGGTTTGTATAATATTGATTGGTATATTTTTTTATACAGTAGGTGTAAGACGTCTTCGACTTGGATGCGATCGAAAGCCTTTGTCAGGTCTATAAAACATAGATATGCTGGTTTATTGTACTCTTTATTTGTGAGATTTGCAAAGACAATTAACATGTTTTGTCAAGGGATAGAAAGTATCAAAATCCTAATAAGTTAAAATATAAAAATAAAGAATTTCGTAAAATAGGTAGTGTTTTATTTTAAATCTTATTTTTTTTATTTTAATGCATATCAATGTGTTCCATATTATAATCACAGCATATTCCATATTAAGTACATATTCCATATTAGGTGCAAAATTTACCTTTTTCATATGTCACTTTTTGACTATCCCGGTATGCAGATTTTTCCATTTTTAATATTAAAATCTAATATATAAAACATTAATATGTATTTATGAATAAAGATTCACACATTATTTAAAAAAACAAAAAAAAATACAAACCAAGCTATTATTATAATAACGGATCGATTACGGCTGTCGCCGCTTCTCCTCCCCCAATTTCCACCTTTTTCTGTCATATGCAGTTGCCTCTTCCAAGTCTCTTGCCACCATTGCTTCATCAATATCGTTGCGCCAACTTCTCCGTGGTCGTCCTCTCTGTCTTCTTTCAGGAGGGATCAATTCCAGTACTCTTCTAAGCCATCTGTACTCTGGCATTTTTTAACATGTCTGAACCAGATTAATTGTTTTCTTTCTATGTCATCATTGATATTTCGCTCCAGAGAAGAGAGTTCAAGGCACGGGTCGCTGCCTGCTCTTGTTTATTCTTTCCCTGATTTCATCTGCGCTATTTCCTTCTTGTTGAAAATGACCCCCAAATATTTGCAGGATTGCACGCCTTTGATTTTGTCGTCTTCCTAGACTAGGTCACATATTTCATCTGTTCTTACTGACAGATATTCAGATTTTGTCATATTCATGTTTAGACCTGCCACCTCATATTCTTGTTGCAGTTTTCTTACCATATAGCTAAGATCGTAGCTGTTTTCGACAATTACTACCTGGTTATCCGCAAAGAAAAGTGTATATAGCGTGTTTTGTTCCACCGTTATTAAAGTCTCTGTTCTGTTTAAATTGCTATCTCTTAGCACCCATTCTAGACACACATTAAACAGAGAGTTTATACAGAGGGTCTCGTTGTTTTAAACCTCGTTTGATTTCGAAACTATCTTATAGTTATTCATTGTATTTAATATTAATGCTTACCTTACTGACTGTTATTTTAACTAGTTTAATTAATTTGCTTGGAATTTTTAAATCTTTTAATAAATTCAGTAATTTTTGTCGATACTAAATACTTCTGATAATAATAAAGTGCAGTTTTTGCGGAACATGCGGCACGTCCCGCTGTACGAAACACAAGTCTAGTCTCGCACTGTCCCTTCCCACGTCCCAAACCCGACCAGCGGGACAAAATGGGGACAGGATGACTCGAGTGCAACCCTACTTACGATCAGAGCTATGGTCAAATCTATAAAGTTCCACTACTAAAGTGAAATATACAATTAAAAAAAAACATTTAAGATTTAAAATAAAAGAGAGTAAAAAGAGTATACTTATACTCCGCTTAGGCATGATTAGATATTGTATTATCTGTGCACTGTTGCACCACAATGCATCAAAATGTGCATACACGTCAGAGGTCAACATTTGCGATAATAATTGATGACTCATTTAAATTTCTGGATTAATTAATTTAAAGTGTTCTTGGCAATCATAATTAACGTGAATATCACCAACTGTGTTTTATACGATAGAAATAATACTGAACCAATCGTATCGCCAATAAATAACGGTTTGTGTTTTATTTGTGACAAAATACCAATTCCGAGTAGAAATATAAATATTATGTAGATAAACTGATAACGTATCATTCGAGTCTATTATTTTACAAGTGCTCACGACAATCGAGTGTGGTTAACCGTATTTAGTTTGTAGGTTTTTTTGTGTAAATAAACTGAAACATGGGTAAGTGTTTTTATTTCTTGCTGTAACAAAATATATTTTACCTATTTTGCTAGAATATATACTTTAATTATAATTATGCTTTATAGTAAGCTTTATGGTCTTGTTTTATAAATATATACATACATACAGAGTGGAACAAATTCCATAGGTGTCATGTAACAGTGGCCAATACCACCTTTCTTATTTTAAACACAACTTCCTACATGTTATTCTTAATTTTGGATTCCTCCTAATATTCTAGACATATCTCATGTACAATGTCTGACTAGCCTAGGAGCCAGGTGGTATTTTTATGCCCTCTCTAGTACCTTAAAAACTTAAAGAAATTGCTTTATCTCTAGTAATAAAAAAGTTATAACATATAAACGTTAAAAATTGCATTAAAAATTTGCAAATTAATTTGTTTATAGCATTTTTAAACAAAACTGAGATAGAATTTTTGAGAATCTGCCGAATGAATTGTTGTACCGGGTGGTGAATCGTCAAACGGGCCATAGGAAACTCAATGGAAAATTTTAAATTGTTGAATTGCTGCTTCCTAATTATTTTAGATCAAAAGTCATAAAAAACTATTTGTAGAGGACTAAAATCTGAATTAAAAACAAATGTTAAAACCGTTCTACGAATCAAATGTACTTCAAAATTTTGCAAAAATATAATAGATTTTTCAGACCACCCCTAAAAGTTAGGCCACACGTAATACAAGAATATATAACGTGTGTGTTTTATCATATTGATGTCAGATGTTTGACAATTTGAATTGTCAATTTTTTTGTTTTATGATTAAATTATAAACAATGAATTTTACTAAATACTACTACTACTGAACAATATTACTTTGTGAACAATAAATTATATTGTTTACAAATCGATCAATATAATGAAATGTACTCAGTTGACGAAAAATCGCATAATGTTGTATTCAGGCAATAGCGCGAACCTTTTCCTGTCACTACCGGATCTTTATTTAACGTAAGATATTCTAATACACTAAAATTTAATTCCATGTTTAAGCTATACAACAATTCAATGAATTCCAATATACTGTTACTGTGATCTTTATTCCTAAAAATAATTTATGATAATTTCTAAACATAAACTACAATGTTATAAAACTGAATAAACATTTTATATGTCTTTTCATAATTAATAACATTATAAATCACAAAATAAAAATATTGGCCATTTAAATCATAGATAAATATAATATAGTTGATTTAAATATTGTCAAATATTAGAAACGTCAATATGACAAAACGCAACACGTAATACACATTTTTTCACGACGTCTGGCCTGACTTTTAGGGGTGGCCTGAAAAATGAATTATATTTTAGCAAAATTTTGGAATACGTTTAAGTCGTAGAACAATTTTAACAATTGTTTTCGATACATATTTGAGTCCTCTACAAATAGTTTCCCATGACTTTTGGTGTAAAATAATTAGGGAAGCAGGAATTCAACAATTTAGAATTTCCCATTGAGTTTCCTATGGCCCGTTTGACGATTCACCACCCTGTATATGTACGTGTAATGTAATGAAAATGGTGTTGAATGTATTTTATGTTCCTTTATTTGACTATTAAAATCATGTGTGTGGTAACCTTACGTAACATAACTTCGTAAGTAATGAAGTGAGTAACGTTCCATGACATCTGTTAACGTCCAAGTGTCATGTCATGGAACTACTAAAATGTCAAATACATCGGACGTCATCTGAGCTAGCTACAGTATTTGTAGTATCTAGTATTTGTGGTAAAGAAGTTAAAGTTTTATTTGAATTATGTACATCTGTATCTAAAACTGAACTAGAATATGGTGTTGCTTCATTTGACGCACAAGTATTTGTAACAATTGGATTATTAACCAGGTCAAATGGGTCGGTTGTATAAGGTAGTGTAATTTCCCTAGTTTACGTTTGACTCTACCAAATTCCCAATAATCTGCATGTATGTAATCACGAGTCTCTACTCTCTCTCTCTCTTATTGGTTTAATGGTCTTTGAGTAAGATACCCAGCATCTGTCGTTCCATAGCTCTATGAGTTTTTCTGATTTTCTCCATGTTTATTTTACTGAAAGTCCAGGTTCGAGCTCCACATGTAAGTACAGGTAGGACACAGAAGTTAAATACTTTGGTTCGCAGTATTTGAGGTATATTTTATTTTTAAGTACGTATGAGAGTCTTCCGAATGCTATTCAATCTAATCAGCTTTCTTCGGTCCATCTTTGGACAATAGCCTCCCCAATCCTTTTCCATTCTTCTCTGTCTGTCGCTACAGTCATCCACCTAGAGCCCACGTGCTTTTTAATATCATCTGCCCATCTCATTTGGGACCTTCCTCTGCTTCGTTTATATTCCCACGGTCTCCAACTTATAAGAATTTTGTTCCATTGGTATTTTTTTTGTCTTAGATTGTGTCCGGCACATCTCCATTTCAATTTTGCAACTTCTTGTCTTCACTTTGTGTTTTTCTCTTATCCACTCCTTTCTCTTTTTATCCATTGGTCTTATGTGCAACATTTGTCTTTCCATTGCTCTTTGGGTTTTTATGATTTAATCCATTGTGTAACGTTTAAAACGTTACATTTTTGTTCTTATTAATTTCAAAGTACTTTCCACTATTTTCTGCTCATACTATTTGATTTTCATTGATAATAAGTTCTTTTTCCTTTGTTTGTATTCCTATATTTTATTTCAATATTTTCCTATTACAAATAAATCCGCTGATTAATTTCTTAAGTCCCCTCGTAGTCCTACCTTCGCTTACTTTATCGTACAAGAAACAGAAACCCCACTCCTAAATAATTTACTTCTATCAATCCGATCCGATTTAATTGCTTTTTAAAATAAACCAGCAAACGAGAAGGTATTATTAAAAAAATAAGTCCTCGTGGTCAGAAACTTCCAACGGTCTGGCCACCTTGGTTTTTATTCAAGAGAATCCACCTTGATTTTTATTCAAGAAAATCCACCTTGATTATGATATAAGAAAATTTACGTTGACATGGATTTTTGGTCGAAGAATACGAAAATGGAATTGTTTTTTTTTTTGGAATAAGAAATCCATCTCGATTTTGAAAGTCCGCATGGCTTTGGATTGGAGAGGGATCCACATGGTTTCAGCTTAGCGGCATGGTTTTTGCAGACATTGTATGGTCCGAGTTGAGAAGAAAACAGCAGGAGGATTTCTCATAGAGTAGAGCTAAGTTTCTTTATTTCTTGAGATTTTGTATATAGATGCTTAATTCCCTGTTGTTAGAACCTCAATTTAATTGTTATTACATTTTGATTTATTAAAATATAAATAAATAAAGATATGTGTTAAAGAAATTATTTTATTAATAATTCCCGATTTCTCAAATTAAGTTAGTTTATGCCGAACATCACCCCTGAGGGGTTTCAATGTGCAATGGGTGAGCTAGCCGTTACAGTTTGCTTTTGTAAACGTCCACGTTTTGGGAACCATAAGGAAGAACGGGAGTACGCATTGATTGTATAGTTTGGTCTTAAGATGCTGTGGATATCTTTGGTTTTTAAGAATGTAGCTTAGTTTGCCAAATGCCGCCCATGCCAGTCTAACTCATCTATTTATCTCTGCTGTTTGGTTTTCTTTGTTAAATTTTATAGACATTGTGATGTCTTCATCTGTATTTGTTATGGTTTTGGTCTTGCTGTAATTCATATTAAGGCCTATCTTTTCAGCTTATGCGTCCAGTTCTATCATCATTTCAAATAATTCTTCTTTTTTTATCGGTTATCAATACGATGTCATCAGCGTACCTTAGATGGTTCAAACGTTGTCCACAATTTTTTATACCTTTTTCTTCACATTCTAATCATTTAACAGTATCTTCCAGAGCCTGATTAAAAAGTTTCGAAAACTTTCGAATGCTACCCATCCCATTTTTAAACGTCTGCTTATTTCAGTAGTTTGATTTTCTTTGCTTACCTTGACATCTTGACCCATATATGTATATTCATCTAAGTGTTCATGTCTGTCCCTTGGATGTTTATTATAGGTTTATCACCTTTGTCTGACATTAGTTTAGTTTTGCTGAAATTCAGTTTCAGTCCTTCTTTTAGGGATTCTGTGTGTAGCTCCTCAATCATTGGATTCAAATCATTCCACGTGTCGGCTATTAGTACTACATCGTCTGCGTATCTAAGAGGGATCAAGTATATTCCGTTAATAGGGATTCTCTTATTTTTTGGACCAGTTGATATACGATTTTCTTACTCCACAAACGGTTTTTAACTAAATTAAAGTAGCTTTTACAAAAACAAAGTAACGCATACGATATTGTTCAAATTTTGTCGTAATACTACAACAAAAATTAGTCAATGAGTCACTTTTAATATTATACTCTACTTACAATAACGTTTCTTATGACAGATATGTATGATTTTAGCCGATTACGGATTTAAACAAGAATATCCACCAAATAGTTGCCCACAATGCCAGAGAAATGTTACCCATTATCCGTCACAACCTGTCGCTTGTCCCCACCATTCCCATCATGTACCACCAACAGGTCAACCTTCTTATGCACCTCCTCCTCCATATAATCCCTATTATAATGGAAACTCACCGTCAGTGTATCCACAACTCCCAACGTATCCTCAACCCCCAACGTATCCACAACCTCCAACGTATCCACAACCCCCAATGTATCCACAACCCCCAACAAATTCAAATTGGTCAAGACCGGGTCACCATGGACCATCTAATTTAAGTAAGTCTAATTTATATAACCTGTTTACCTGTACCAAAATTTGTTTTCTTTATCGGTATTTAAATATTTAGGTTATGCAAAATGGGTGGACTGCTATCTTCATAGTAGAATGCCTGAGGCTGCAGTTAGGGGTGGTACCGATATAGATGGGCAACCAATTTATGTTGGTAGATCCTTTCATGAAGGTGATTGGTTGCCGGCCAAAGTTATTCCAGGACGACGTTGCTGCTATGTTTCCTATAATGGAAAGGAATACGCTAAGAGTACTTTTCAGGTAAGCATATTAATGATTATCCTATGTTAAGTGCGTGTGGCTCCTAATAGTGAGATAAGGACAATACATTTGGCTTATGAAAACAGTTTATATAGTAGTGATTTTAGCTCTATAAAAGCATTATGCGGGATATAAGGTAAATCGGAACTTTCGTTGCATTTATAGTGTTGGCAAAATCTCACTCGACATGATCCTGGTAAAAAAGGTATTTAGACATCTCATACAAGAAAATTCTTAAGCATAATAGAAACGATGTTTGAATAATTACATTTCCTGGGGTAAACTTTTTTGAAATTTAACAGAGCTTCTGCTCGAATTTCCAGATAAGGACTTTTCTACAACCAACACAAGTACAGATAAGAAAAATTAAGTTCTGGGCATCTCTGTCTAAGTGTTTCTAAGGTTTACTATTCTCTGTTCACAAATTGTTGATAGCACGAAATATGCCTCAAAATCATCAAACGGTCGTAAAATTTGTATCATCATAGGCGTTCCTGAGGTGTTTATTCATTAAAATTAATATTAATATTAATAATGTTTTAATACTGATATATTTGATAATGTTGGTTATTATATTATATTAATAAAAATAATAATTTAACCATTAACAATTTTGTAAATAAGAATACCTTATCTCTTTGGATATTTCAATACTAATCTTCGCGTTTAATCACTTTACTAGAAAACCTGGTATTTATATCCGAAGGTACTATCGGTTGCAAGATAATTAGGATGGAATTCCCCAGATTTTTAATAATATAATGGGTATAGATGCCGGATTTGGCCACGTACCTCATCTGTTTAGTTTATATTCGAAACTTAACTTAAAAGGGTGAAGTTATTACGAACGAAAACAATTTGTTTGTTTAGTACGTTTTTGATCGCATGTAATTTACGGCTCGTCGGTGTTTCCGCTTCTACGGCAGTAATTAGCGTCTCGAATATTTCTTTTGCGAATTATATGCAGTGCGTGAGTGATTTTTTATTCCATATACCTATGAACATATACGTACCTTTCGCTCGTGCTCGTTTTGTTGAATTGTTTGTGATGCCTTCATCATTAACATCATCAAGTTTTACACCGGTACTGTTGCGTACAGTCAGTAAGTGTGTCTATTCACCAAGAGAGAAGACTATTGTCCTGAATGTTCACAATGCTCTGGTTTCTCAGAATCCCACAAACACTGTTCGCAACATAGTCGAAAGTTGTGCCAACATGTATAGGTTCCTATCAGAAAGAAAAAAACACGGTATAGCTAACCCAAACACAAACGAACACTTAAAGAGAGGGAAAAAGCCTATTGAACTTGATGAATTTGCCAAAAATGGTATTCGAAGGAAAATTCATGGATTTTTTTTTCAAAAAAGAAATACCAAACCTAAATAAAATTTTACAAGAAGTTAGAGATGATCCGGATTTGCCTCATATCGGACGAACTAAATTGTGGCAAGTTTTAAAAGAATTAAATTTCCGGTGGGAGAAATCAGACCGAAAATCACTTTTGATTGACCGGAGGAGATAATATGTTGGAGAAGAAATTATCTAAGATCCATACGAAAATTCCGGGCTGAAGGAAGGCCAATCTTCTACCAGGATGAATCGTGGGTAAACTCAGGTCATACTCTAAAAAAAGTTTGGTCAGATAAAAATATATTAAGCTCCAGGCAAGCCTTTATGGAAGGTTGGTCTACTGGTATCTCCCCACCTTCTGGTAAAGGCAGTAGATTAATAATTTCTCACATTGGCAGTGAAAAAGGATTTGTTAAGCATGGTTTGTTGGAATTTCAGTCCAAAAGCACAAAAGACTATCACGAGGAGATGACAGCTGATGTTTTCGAAGAGTATTTTGTGCAGATGATTGAACACATACCACCAAATTCAATTATAGTATTAGATAATGCACCTTATCATTCACGACTAGTAGAAAGACTTCCAACGACTGCGTGGAAAAAACAGGATATTCTTGACTGGCTGCGGAATAAGTACCTGCCTTACGAAGATGGAATGGTAAAAGCAGAACTTTTAAAAATTGCCCGGCAACACAAATCTAAGTTCAAGAAATACGTAGTTGACAAAATGGCGGAAAGGAGAAACATCACAGTCCTTAGACTTCCACCCTACCACTGCGAAATAAATCCAATTGAACTCATTTGGGCACAAATGAAAAGTTATGTGGCTAGAAAAAATACGTCATATAAAATACAAGCTGTACGTGAATTGTTATACGAGTCTTTACAACACATTACAGAACAAAACTGGAAAGATGCAGTAAGACATGTAATAGAAGAAGAACAAAAAATGTGGGATCTTGATAACATAATTGATGCGACCGTAGAGACACAACCGCTAATTATTAACCCTCAAGACGACTCGGATTCCGAAGTTGATCCTATTTATTTTGAATTTGAATAGTTTTCTAATCGTAATTATATAAGGTAAGTGATAGTAGTTGTAATCGTAAGGTATTAAAGGGGAAAGGCGCAAAACGTCGCCTGTCAAAATGTTCAATGTGTTTTAAATGTATCGATTTTTTTTCAAATCCTGAGAAAACTAAAAAGCCTTTTTGGAAAAATTTAAAGGCAGAATAAAATATTTATTAGAATAAATAAAAAGTTTCTTTTGCATGCAATATTTTCAATTAAAAATTATACTATATTCTCTCTTTTATTTTCACCCCTGTTGCATAACATAATAAAATAAACATTGTAGAAGTTTTCAGGGACTTTCTGTAATATACATCAGTATACACATATATAATACCCTCAGTAATAATGTAATCTTTCATTCTGCTTTTAAATTTTTCAAAAATATTTATTAGTTTTCTCCGAATTCGAAAATAATGGATACATTTAAAACACATTTGGTGCCTTTCCCCTTAATTAAATAAATGTATCTTTTACAAATGGCAAAAAACTTTATTTTTGAATAAAATATTTTATTTTATTATAAGTTTTATTAAAACAAAAATACAATTTAAAAAATATATTTATTTAGTTCAAATAAATGTTTCAATCATATACTCTACGACACTGGTCGGCCAAAATACGTTCCTAATCGGATTATAAGCTTGACCGCTGTATTGTATTCCGGCAGATACAAGGTGGGTTAGTCGAAAACATCTTAAATCGTCAGTTTCAGGTTGGTTTTTACTATTATATCGTATTACCTATCCTCTCTGTATTTCAGTTCTCTAATTAGGATTAAACTTGTAGTGAGCTATCAACAAATTGTGAACCAAGTATAAGTGCTACGTATGGTCAGTGCTGCTATATGGCGTAGAGGGCTGGACACTCAAAACGAGGGATATAAACAGATTGGAAGCTTTCGAAATGTGGCTTTATCGCCGTATCCTAAAAATACCATGGACAGCGAAAATCACAAATATAGATGTCCTTAAAAGAATAAACCAATAACGCCAACTTTTCGAAACCATCAAGAAAAGGAAAACGGCGTATCTAGGTCACATCATGCGAAATGAAAAATACCAGTTCCTCCAACTTATAATCGAGGGTAAAATTGAAGGCAAGAGAGGAATGGGACGCAAGAAAATGTCCTGGCTCCGAAACATAAGGCAATGGACAGGGATTAACGACATACAATCTCTGATACATATTGCAAGAAATAGAGAATTAATGGAAAATGTGATCGCTAACATCCATTAGTGGATTTGCATCTGAAGAAAAGAATCTCTGTCCTACCATTAAGAATATAAAATAAGTAGTAGTGCTCAAACAAAAAAGGATACACTTACGGTAAAGAGACCAAGTGGATAGGATAAATAGTGAAAAATCATCCACTGTGAGATTTACACCAGAAACAAAATATACCTTATCGAAAAAAATGGGATTGCATTAAAGCTAAATTATATCAATTTAATTTTGGATGAGGTATCACTGTTTACTGTGATTAGATTAGATTAGATTGCATTAGTTCGTCGTTTTCAGAAGACTTTCGTAATAACAAGACATTAAAAATTTTGTTTTACTGTTTTAAAGGCTTTTTCAATATATGTATAATTAATGACCCAAATTGTATATTTGTATTGTATTGAATTGTAACATCGCATAAACCGAATCTAATTATTTAACCTTTTTACTTTTAGGTTTTATCACATACATCTGCACATTGGGTTCCAGGATTTGGGGGACAGGTGCCACATAACGCGATTGAAGGTGGTAGAACTGCTACTGGCGAAAAGCTTTATATCGGAAGAGTTATGCATCAACATTCTCAAACTGTGGGCAAGGTTTGTATATTGTAGTGATGTTTTCTAGTAGTACCAGAGTAGTATCAAGTAGTACCAAAAACTATTGGAATACGAGAGAGAACTATTAATATCAGTATGACCTACCATTATTTTTAATGGAACTCAAGTTGCCCAAAACTGTTAATTAATAAAACGTCACATTATTATCACCAGCAATATTATCATATCTTGAGACCACCGCAATCGGGTAGTGGTCCTAGTACATGAAACACATAAACGACTGAATTTCCGCAAAGCAAGGAGATTCGGCATAAAGATGCTATCTTTGACCGGCCTGCATTGAACATAACATCATCTGCTATCAGTGAATTCAACTACTCAGAAATGATTAATATCTGCATCAAGCTCCTCTGTGTGCTCATGTATACAATCCTTCTTGATAATAATGAAACACAGAGTCTGAAAACAATTGTAGAAAATTTGACATGACCAACTACAACTAATACATGAAGCCACACTTTCCTCCTGCTTTAACGTTGTAAGGTGGAAAAGAGGATAACAGACAATATTTTTGAATCCAGCGAAGTGGCAGCTTAGTGCAAAAATAATATCGAAGATAAAATTTCCCGTCCTAACACAAACACCCACATTTCGAATGCTTCTAGTTTTCTCGTTAGCGTCTCCGTCAGCGTCCAGGCCTCCACGCCATACAGCAAGATCGGAAAAATGTAGCATTTAACTAGACGTAGTTTTAGGGGAAGAGATAAATCCTTGCTTATGAGAAGCTTTTTCATATTGCTAAATGCTGCTCTAGCTCGTTCTATTCTCGCCTTAATTTCTATCGTCTGTTCCCATTTTGTATTTACGTTGGTGCCAAGGTACACATAAGATTCTACATGGTCAATTAGTATGTTACTTATCCGTAATTGTCGAGCAGGTTGTTGCTTTTTGCTTATCAGCATCCACTTTGTCTTCTTGAAGTTGAGGCTCAGGCCGTATTCCTCACTAACTGAATAAAGTCTTTCCATTACTTGTTGTAATTCGTCTATGGTACTGGCAAGGATCACCGTGTCGTCGGCATATCTTATATTGTTCGTTAACTCGCCGTTTATTTTTATGCCCTCATTTGCATTTTCCATACATTTGTTAAATATTTCCTCGGAATACATATTGAATAGGAGTGGGGATAATATACACCCTGACGGACACCTCTTTTGATCTGCACGCTTTCAGTGAGTTCGTTCCCAATTTTTGCTCTTGCTGTTTGACCCCAGTATAGTTTGCCAATTCGAATGTCCTTGTCGTCAATACCTGTCTTTCGCAGAATACCTATCAATTGTTCATGATTGACATTGTCAAATGCTTTTCTAAAATCTACAAAGCACAAATACACGTCCTTATCAACGTCTCTACACCGCTGTATAAGCACCTGGAGACGAAAATTGCTTCTCTAGTTCCAAGTGCTTTCCGAAAACCAAACTGCGATCTATCAATATTTGACTCACATTTATCATATATTCTTCTATGAATAATCTTAGTGAACGCTTTAGTGACATGATTGATCAAGCTTATAAGCCGGTAGTCATCACAAATCTGAACATTTGGTTTCTTCGGGATTGTAATAAATGTTGACTGCAGCCAGTTCTCCGGGATTTTACCGCTATTATATATGTTGTTAAAAAGTACAACTAGATTATCAAGGAACTGTTTGTCTGATTTACATAGGATCTTTAATATTTCGCAGGGTACATTGTCCGGACCTGCTGACTTATTGTTTTTTAGTGCTGCAATGGCATCTTCTATCTCCGATTTAAGGATTAAAGGTCCTGTTTCTCCTTCTCCATATAGGTGATCATCAGTCCTGTCAGATGCAAATAATTTTTCTATGTATGATTTCCATGTTTTTAAGATCGTTGATGGCTCCGAGATAAGATTTCCATCGCTATCTTTTATGCTGTTGGGTGACTTATTGAATTTCCTCTTGTTTGTCATCGATTTTATTTTTTTTGTGCATATTGTAACTGTCGTATTTTCGTTCGTATTGTTCTATTTCCCTGCATTCGTTGGAAAACCATTTTTCTTTGGCTTCTCGAATTTTCGTTCTTATGGTTTTGTGGATCTGCTGGTATTTTTCTGTATTTTTATTCTTGAATTTACGTCTTTCATCCATCATATCCATTATCTCATCAGACATCCATTCTTTCTTCTTCCGTCGGTCACGCTTTAATAGAGTCGCGCATGTTGTTTGGATTGCTTCCCTCGATTTATCCCATCTCTCTATTATGTCCGACGTGTTCTCGTTAATGTCCTTTATTTTCTTTCCTAGTTGTTCTCGTACTTTTATTTCGGTTTCTGGGTTAGTGAGTTTTTTAATATCGATTGTGTTTAAATTAGATCTTTTCTCGAGCCGTTTTACTCTCATGACCATTCTGCATACCAACAAATTGTGGTCCGTAGGAACATCGGCACCTGGGTACGTTTTTGATGATTTTATCATGTTTTTATATCTTGTTGGTACTGCTATATAATCTATCTGATTCCTAATGATGTTGTCAGGTGAGTCAGCGGGGGATTTCCATGTGTAAAGTCGACGTTTGGGGAGCTTGAAGAGTGTATTACTTAACAGCAGGTTATATTCCTGGCAGAAGCATATAAGTCTATCACCTCTATCGTTTCTCTCCCCTAGGCCGAAGTTTCCCACGATCTCATTCACCTTGCCTCTGCCAACCTTTCCATTGAAATCTCCATCACTATTGTTGGGACTAAACACATATAAAATATAAAATAATAATATAACAATAATCATAACACTAATTCACTCGGTTTTTGAATTATTATCTCACCCGAGCAGTGCTACCTATAACTTGCTTATTTAGAATTTATGTTTCAGCTAAACTATCTTCAAATCTAAGCTCATTAAGTGAAACTGATCTAGGAGGGGTTTTCTTTAAAGTACTTAGAAGTTAAAAATAATGTGAGATTACAAATTAAGGGGTTAATTTGTGATTGAACATAAAGCAAATCGGACATTACGTCAATCGTCCAAACAATTGTAAATGCTATTACGAATTTCTTATACTTAGCGACTTAACTGATAAGCGTGAAGTATGAATATCGATTGAAATTTTAAAAACAATTTGTTTATTGTAATCCTGTCCTTAAAATATAGTTAATTTTACGATGATAAAATTGTTGTTAAAATATTCGTTACATACATAATATTATATTATTATATTATTATCTAAACAGATAAACTTCTTAAAATTTGATTTTATTATGTACTAAAGATTTATATGTAATTAATCTTTATTAACCATTTCCTGAAATTGTTTTGAATGATGAATGAATGAATGAATTTTTACGTTTTTAGATACATCCGAGTCACAGAAATTGTTATATACCTTTCGATGGAAGAGAAATAGCATATGCCGCTTACGATGTTTTGGTTTCTAGGAACTAGTGCTTATCTGTTTACAAAGAGGTTAGACCCATTTTATTATATTGTATACAAAAATTACTAAAAAATTAATAAAATAAAATAAATTTAATAAAGTTATTCCTATAGACTATTTCGTGAGTTATTTATATTTAATAATTTGTATAAATAAATTATCTTCCATAAACAATTGTTTTCTTAATCCTTGTTCCGTTTACTTATAGTTTAGTTCATTTTGTTTTTCGATTTTATTTTATTATTTTAGATTCATGTCGGTAATTCATTAGTTTGTGTTAACTAGTTACCAGAAAATCTCTTAAAAAATTAAATACATTCATTCTTACATATTTCTGGGAAAAATTTTTCTTTTTTTCTGCTTAAAAATGCAAAAGTATTTTTTATGTATCTTATCGATATCAAGAAATCAAGAATATTATAATTCTGGTTTGACTCAAAATGGATAATCTTGATTAGATATAGCGAATAACGTATACATTAGAGATAAAGAAAAGAAATGCCCAGTTAGATTATTTTTGAAATTAATGGAAAAAGGGGACCAAAAATGTTATTAAACAGACTCTTTCTTACCGTTCACCCCAAATGGAAGGATGGATCATGGTTCAAAAACTGTCGACTTGGAATCAACACCGTATCTAAGTAGACAAAAATGTCAGCTAAAAAAATTAAAATAGACCAAAAAACATAAAATAACAAACCATTCTCATCGATTTTCATCTGGTCAGACCTGTGTCCAAGCAAGATGTTTCTGAACAGGAGTTAACTAAATCAACGGGTCACTCAAATGCAAGCTCTCTAAAACCATATCTGCAGCTGGATTCCAGTCACCTCCAGAAGTTGATCGAAAATCTAAGAACAACAAATGAAGTTGAACCTTCCAAATTACCAAATTTAGGAGTTACCAAATGCTACAGGTCAATAATAGACAAAATAATACTTTGTTAGAAAAGAATGGGCAAACTGCTATAGCTTATAATTAGACTTCGGCAAATATGCAAATAAAAATGTAGAAAATATGCGGAAAATAGAGGAATGTTAGGTAGTATTTCTTTATAAAGTTGAATTCTTATAGGAGATTTAAGAAATGCTTTTTTGACACTGGATATCATGGTATTTACAAGAGAAAACTTTTTTCGTATTTCCTCTGCAACTCTGTTTAATCCATGCGCTACACAAGTAACATGTATTAAATCTGGGAAAAATATTTTTAAATTTTGTCCTGCTTTCACCATATAAGGAGCAGCATCCGATAAAATAAGCAGTAATTTATTGAGGAATAGTTGTCGGAAGAAAAAAAGTTGCTAATGTTTCTTGTATAAAACGCGAAATTGTTAAAGCATTTGTTTTCTCAAGTTGCTGGCATGAAATAAGATGAGATTTTGGTAAGGTATCTTCTTTAAGAACACCAATCAATAAATGAGCAATATACTTTCCTGAGGAATCAGTGGTTTCGTCTACAGATATGTAAAAATAATTATCTGCAATTTCTTCCTTAATATTAATTAACACCGACGAGTATAGCCCGTTCACATTATTTCTTCTTAGAGACCGATCACTTGGAACATTAAGTTTGCAATATTTTTTTAGAAACGAACTAAAATTTACATTTGCTAATTTTGAAAGCGGTATGTTTGCAGACACTAATGCGCGACACAAGTCTTCGTTAAAAGTTTCTTGCTCATCTAATTTTTTTGAAGTAGATTGGAAACATTTAGCCATTGAAGTTTGATGTTTTCCTCCTATTTTTCCTTTTTTTGCAATGTGTGAAGCAGTTCTCACATGTTGGTCTATCTGAAATTTCTTCTCACATGCTATCTATAAATAAAAATAAAAACCTTTATTTTAACCCAACCTTTAAAATATAAAATCATACAAGGTGTTTTTGGTTAATCAAATAACTGGTTTGGAAAAAAAAACACTCGCTAAGTGTTTTAAATGCAGTATTAATCCACAAATTAGTTTTTGTTACTAACCATTAGTACATCATATAACTTATTTTAAAATTCAACAAAAGTTTTTTTTTTGTTAATTTAATTACAATAAAAATAATTGTGTTTTTAGAATACACACCATTGTATTGTACCATGGACAATTTTTTCTCACTAAAGGAAGCTATTTTTCATTTAAAAACAACCTACGAGTACTAAATTTCAAGTAAATACGTTTATTGGTTTTAAAGTTATTGTTGTTATTAACTAAAACAATTTAATTTTTTTTTAATTTTAACACCCTGTATCTCGAAAAGTAAATAAGTTTGGCCCCTCATGAACTATATCGTTTTGTTCAATTTTTCGAGAAGTATCTACAGTCAAACGTTGTAAGTGTCATTTGGAAACACCCTGTATGTATGAAATATTAGATATTTAATAGAAAATATTAGATACTTACAATTTTGCCACAGACTGAACAGTAGATTTTTCCCATATCCATAGACAGCTCTTTATAAGGTTTAATCCAAGTTGAAGCACTGGTTGTTTTAGGCAATTATAAAATCACAATCTTTCTTTTTGTTACGCAAAACGAGTGTTTACGCTTTGAATATCAAAACAGAAATGATTTGCAAATCTGAGCATCAAATTAGAAATCTTTAGGTACCTAATTCAATAAACTGGGAGATTTTGGAAAATCCCTGAATTAGGAACAAAACTATTAGCCGTTTACCTGCTGTTAAGATACAATAAATTGTAGATAGATTTGGGGATTAGATCATAAAATGCAAATGAGCGAACCCTTAGCGATTATCCAATAACTGAATGCCTCAGTGACCGAGACTTTCTAAGAATGTTGAGGGCTACTTAAATTGATCTTCTTTGAAATTGTAAATGTTTTGTACCTGTAGAGATTACGTACTTAGATCATTTCTTGATTAAAATGACTACAAAATTTTATACAAGAATTGAAATAAATTGGTATGTTTAAAAATTTTCAAATACAGTATAAAAATCTGAACTTTTATGCACTTTATGCAAACTTTTATACAAATATGCCAAAATATGAAATATTTGCATAAAATATGCACAATATGCAAAATATGCAATATGCATATTTGCCGAAGTCTACTTATAATAATTGTACATTTAATATTGTTAACAAATAGGTGCATTAATTGTTTCGTGAAATAGTCTGGAAAAAATTATTTACCGGCAAAATTTTCTTCTGGTTTTGTTCAAGGTTGTTGCCGTTTGACAATTTGTGCTTATAACATTTTGACAAAATCACGCGACTGACGACTTGTGATTTAACTGTAAAAATTTAATTCGGGAAAATTGCCGGGCAATAAACTTTCATACCAGTCGAATATATTGCTGGCCAAATTTTCTCTCTTAGAAACAAAGATTGTCTTAAAGACTAAGAAAAATTAGAATTTAAAATTGAGTCCAAATAATTTCAACAAATAAAATAAAAGATACCCATGTTTAAAAGTGGATAAAGTTGTTATTCAACATTGTTAAATAATATATTCAAAATAACTTTTAGAATAAAGAAAACTTTATTCTTTCAAAGTACGAACTTGTATGAATAACGCCCGATTATTTCTATTTATTTTCATATACACAATACTAACGACAATCCAAATTGACCATTTTGCTTACGAAACACACCTTCCTTTGTGCGATCGTGCTCCTGTTATACCAAATGACATCTGCATAAATCTCTTTGTATCATAATATTACACGGTTGTCCACCACGGGGGCGCATGCTTGCAATATGCCCCCTGAGGAAGCGGTTCAATTAAGAAAAGGATCACACCTCTCGCTTTTTAAAGAGTTTTTAAAGAGGCTCATTCAGTAACACACGACTAAATTTACGCCTATTAATGGCAATAATAAACTCAAAAATGCCATTTTATATCGCCTTCCCGAAGTTCTTTCTTATTTTAACGAGGTATCATATTCTAAGAATTTTAGGGCACGGAACATTAACATGTCATAATAAATATTAAAATATAAATTCGCATCTTTATATTAAATTTTTTAAAGATTTAACAGATAATTATGCAATTTTAAACTTTTGATTTTAACGTCCATCGGATCTTTTTATGTTAGCCGTATTATAATGCTACTCTCCTGTCAAACCTCTGTTCTGCGCGTTGGATTATTTTAATCTGTGAATATAATGGACTGTTTTTGTCTATTATTTGAGTGGCTTAAAGGCAAAGGTGCCTAACCCCAAAAATTTCTTTCTCTGATTAGCTAATCTTCTTCTTATGTGCTTTCTTCTACCGAAGGTTGGCGACAATCAAACGATAGATTTCTCTGTTTTGTGCCGCATGTATTATGTTCGCAGCTTCTGGTATTTGAAACCGTTCTCTCAAGTTTCTCAGCCAGGATTTCTTCTTTCTGCCCAAACCTCTTCTACCTTCAATCTTGCCTTCCACGATAAGCTGTAGCAGGCTGTACTTATCATTACGGAACACATGGCCCAAGTATGACGCTTTCCTCCTTTTAACAGTTGTTTACAATTACTCTTTACCCATTCGTCTTAATACCTCTGTGTTGGTTACTCTGTCTGTCCAAGGTATTCTCAATATGCGTCGATACAGCCACATTTATAGAGCTGCTAACTTCTTTATAGTTTCTGCTGTTAACGTCCACCCTTCTACCTTGTAAAGTAGCGTAAATTTGAATCTTGCTATTTCAATTCGGATCTTAATCTCTACGTCTGGTTCCCACTTATCATTTACTGTATATCCCAGATATTTAAATCGGTGTACTCTTTCAATACGTTCGGCTTCAATATTCAGGTCGATATGTTGAATGTTCTTTTTACTGATCACCATAAATTTAGTTTTCTTTCTATTGATCTTCAGTCCAAATCGATTGCCAGTTGTATTTAGTCTATTTAGCATCATCTGTAAATCTTTGATGTTATCGGCCAGTATAACAGTATCATCTGCATATTGAAAATTACTTATTGGTACGCCATTAATCTTGTGCCCTCGTTGTACTCTTCCAGTGCCTCTAAAAATATTTGTTCCGTGTACAGGTTGAAAAGCAGTGGCAAAATAATACATCCCTGTCTGACTCCCTCTTGAAATGGTTACGTTTTCACTTACCATATGTCCATTCTTCATGCGGGATGTTTGATTCCAATATAGATTTTTTATAATCTGGATGTCCTTAATATTGTTCTGAAGCTATTTTCTTGTGGCATTGTAAATTAATTACT